TGGATGAGGCCGTTGAGACGTTGATTCCCCTGAAGGGACATGTTCGAAGGCTTCCAGTAGTGAGCATGGATATGTTGGGAGGTGATTTCCAAGGAGTCGTGCTGAGTTTAGACGGTCGGTGCCGCAAAACTCTCCACCAAGAAGGGGAGTTGTGGTTGTGTGCTATGGCAGTTACCCGGTTGGAAGGTTCTGAAAGCGAAAGGTTTCCTTTTCGAGAATGTCACGGTGACCGATACCGAGTACCATGGACTTCTCAAAGGACTCGAGATGGCCATCGAAATAAGATTGCAAGATTTGGTCGCAGTCGGAGACTCTCGAATTGTTATTCAACAGGTTCAAGGACTGATCAACTGTAATCAGCCACATCTCCAAACGCATCTTGCCAAAGTTGAGTTATTGAAAGAGAAGTTCGGATCCTTACGTCTGGTACATCTGAAGCGGGAATACAATCAGACCGCCGACTATTTGACCACGAAGACTTTGATTCTGGATGAGTCATGGGACGTTACGGACCCAGCCGATATCGCGCATTTGGAGCACGTGTCAAAGATTGCGGAGAAACTCATGAAAGTGGAAGACTCCGAGTTGAAATCTGGAGTTGGTCCAACTTCTGGGGAAACACCGTCAGAAGACGTTGAACAGCCTACGGTGGAGTCAGCCCATTGACAAAAACAGCCCGCGTGCTCACAACAGTGACGCGTTCCAGAAGCCAAGCCGAATCCACTTCGAGGGAGGGACCCATGGTCCCTTTGGAATTCCAAGCTGAACGATGGCGACGCATCCGAGTGCATCAGGATGCAGATGAGTACCTGTCGGATATCCCAGACTTTATGAAGGAGGACCTCGAGAAGTTTTCGCCCAGAAGACTGAGAAAGATTGCCAAGGTTGCCGATCTATTTGTACGTGGCACTAGGGATGCACTGTATCGACTAGCTCGCACGACCCGTGATCGCCCGCGTGACGTTCAGGATGAACCTCGACTCGTCGTTCCAAAAGCACTTAGAGACGATGTCTTACATTATGGTCACGAAGAATTCCAAGGAGGTCACCAAGGCATCACCAGGACCCATAAGCGGTTATGCTCAGAATTCTATTGGCCCGGCATGTATGCGGATGTAGAACCCTTTGTGAAGGAATGCGTTGCCTGCGCGAGTGTAGAAGGAAAACCTCCACGCGGTGGACCATCGCCCGGGAATATTGAACTCCAACAACCTTTCAAAGTGGTTTCGATGGACTTCGTGACGCACATGCCGAAGTCCGACCGAGCGAATACATTTTGCTGCTATTCCAGGATATGTTTTCTGGATATGTGATGTGCAAACCGATGAATTCAACCACCGCTCAGGATGTCGCGGAAACTTACGAAGAACGTGTATTCCAGAACTGTGGAGCGAGTTCAATGATTCGGCACGATCAAGATCCCCGTTTTATGAGTGAGGTGTTTACTCGTTTTTGGGAACTCTTCAATAGTCGTCAGAGAGCCATTTTGGGATACCGACCCCAAGCAAACGGACAGCAGGAACGATCTGACCAACCGGTTGTCAGGGGTATTCGTACCTATATATTGAGCAGCCCGATCAAAGTGACTGGGACGACCATGCGGAAAGATTTATGTTCGCTTTAAACACTTCATTCGACGCGACACGTTTAGATACCCCGTTCTACGTGGTCCACGGTTGGGATCCACAAAATACTCTGAAAGCGATGTTGGGTCCGACGCCATCCAGTGTGCCCGAAAGAACCGCCTACGAGTGGAGTCGAAAGGTCCAGAGGGACTACTGTTATGCGAAAGCGTGTTCGGAGGGCATACCGAATTCTACTGTTATGCGAAAACGTGTGCGGAGGGCATACAGAATAAAACCCGACGACATAGTTCTGGTCTCCAAACGCAAAAGTGGAAGGAGTTATGCGAACGCCTCAAATCGGGTTTTCAGAAAGGGGATGTCGTATGGTTATACATTTATGCCATGGACCTTTTCGAATTGACGAAGGATTAGA